ATTCAGGAGGTGCACTATCAGCAAGAACATCACCAGAAGAATCAAGATCAAAATCAAAGTGAGAATCATGAGAATTATTATTATTATTATTACTATTATTAATACCAACATCAACATCATCATCACCACCATGATCTCTTTCTCTATCTCTATCCAAACGCTTAAAACTATGCCGATGATGACTCGACACATTCAAGAAATCCCTGAACCCTTTCCCACTCCCACCGCCACTTCCACCACCAATGACGGCGGCAGCGAGAACTTCGGATCCATGAGCTTCAACATCTCGTTCTACGACTTCTGATGAACCAAGAAGACGATGCTGTTCGTTTTCCGGCATTGGAAAACTCTGTTTTCGAAACTATTCAAAAACCCATCAACGAAACCGCTTCAATTTCAAAAACCCAGTTGTTAAATTGCGGAAATTTCAAATCTTTTGAAAACCCAGTTGTTAAATTACTGAAAATCAAATCTTTGTTAAGGAATGTGAAGAAAGAATGAAAGGGGTTTGAAATGGATCTTTGTGTTTGAAATGAGTTGTGTTGTGTTGTGAGTTTGTTTGAATCAAAAGTAAGAACTTGTTGAAGCTTTTGTTTGTTTGTTGGTTACAATGAACAATCTTTCTCCTTTTGGTAAAAATGAAATACCACAAAATTGGTCATGTGTCATTTCATTCATATATGTGACATTTTTAATTGAGTTTAACTTTCATTTTTCAAAGAAATTTACTATGTGTATACCCTCTAGCATATCTTAGATTTAGACTAGGTCAAGGGATATCAAATATTTATAAAGTTTTTAGTAGAGGTGTTCGCGGTTCGGTTTGGATCAGTTTTAAAGTAAAAATTCATCTGATTCAAAGATTAATTCACTTAAGGTTCGGTTCGGTTTTGGATGATATATTTTAAAAAATACAATCTGATCCGATTCAATTTTATGCGGTTTAATTTGGACCGATTTTTAGATATCCAAATTACACATTATATTTTTATTAATATTATAAAACTACTAATAAATCATAGATTTGATATAATATATAACATATAATATATTAAAAGTTAATATTACAAAATGAGAGTGATTGATTATGCTTGAAATAATAAAAATAAATAGATTATATCAAACTAATAAATATTATTAAAAAAATTATTATCATCTAATAATAAATTCACATAACATGTCATACTAATAAAAAGTAAATAAGTATCAAAATATATTTATGCGGTTCGGTTTGGTTTTGATCGGTTTTGAAAAATTCATCCGAAATCCAATCCGAACCGATCGATTTTCATAAAATAACATCCAAGCACAACCAATAACTTTCAATTTTTTATGATTTTCGGTTTTTTGGATCGATTTTCGATTTTTTATTTGGATTGGTTTGGATTTGAACACCCCTAATTTTTAGGCATGTTAAATTCATAAATTGCTCTAATTAGGTTAATATGAATTGTATTTTTATATTATTAATATTATAATATAAATTTAACCCGATGCTATTTTGTATTTTACACGGTCAAATAATCTAACCCGAAAATATTTGAATGAGATGGTATTTGATATATTTCCCGGAGTTTAAATTCATAAATTTTGAAATATATTTAACTTTTAAATATAGTCAAAATCTTATCGGAGATTTTTTAAGTTATTTTTGTTTAACGGGTTGGTCATTAAGTGCTTTTTAAATAATTTATTCTTTTAAGTTATTAAATGTGTGCATCGTTATTCTTTTTTAACACTAAATGTATTAATTATGGATGCAATTATTTTGAGTGTTATGAAAATGATGAAATATAATCAAATTTCTAAATGTATGAAATGTGAGAAAAAAGATGTAGAAATCAACCTAAAGGACAAAGTTATTACAAAAATATTAAAGAATCAAGGGTTAATACCTATTTTCACCCCTGACATATGGGTTGTATTTGAAAAATCCCCCTGCCAAAAAAAAAGTTCCAATTGTTACCTTGACAAATTTTAAAAGTTTCAGTTTTTACCTTGAGGATGCCACATCACCTAAAAGGCTGATGTGGCTTATATTTTTGTTACATTTGTAAGTTTTTGTTATGCCATGTCACACAATACCAAATAAAATGTCCAGAATGCCCTTTCTACATTTTTCTTAAAATCCCAAATTATTTGGCAAATGCTATGTTTCAATTCAGACCCTCCAAATTAGGGCGCAGCCATCTTCATCTCAGTAACCCAACTTTTGCTTTCCTCTTCATCTTTAAGTTTTCTTTGATTTCATAAACATGAGTCAACCAAATTGTTCTACTTCAAGCTTATCTTCAAATGGTAGAGTAACTCCCAAATGCGGCCACAATGTCTCCATGAAGTTATTTGTTTCAAAATCGATTGCAAATCCCGGGAGAAAATACTGGAAGTGTAAGTTCTGGGGTAAAGGAGATGACTGCAACGCATTTGTTTGGGATGATGAATTTTCTGATGATTTCGGTGGTAACGGCCATTCGGATGTAGTTTCAGTAGAACTGATGAGCAAACTGGAGAGAGATATCGCACTGAAGATGGAAGCCATGGAGAAAAAAATGGATGAGTTAAAAAAGAAGCTGAATTATGTTTTAGTTGGGTTTATTTGTCTTTTGGTTCATTTCTTACTTAGTTCATGTAAAAATTCATGAAGTTGTGGCTTATGTTCTAGGAAGTTGTAACCTATGTAAAATTTAGTTCATGAATTATATTTCTTTGTTATAGAATATGGAATATATTACTCTCATGAGTTTTGGTTAGTTGAGTTATGGAATATGGAATATATTTCTTTCTTATGGTTTCTTATGGAATATATTTGCTTAAGTCTGTTCTGATATATTGTTAAGTAAAACTGTTTTGGAATATTTTGGAAATCTGTTCTGATATTTTGGAAATCTGTTCTTAAGCAATTCTGTTGAGTAATTCTGTTGTACAAAATCTGTTGTTAAGCAAATCTGTTGTTAAGTAATTATGTTCTTAAGCAAATATGTTGTACAAAATGACAATAACATAGTTAAGCCAATCTGTTGTGATACATAGTCAAGCAAATTTGTTGTACAAAATGACTTTAACATTGTTAAGCAAATCTGTTGTGATACATAGTCAAGCAAATCTGTTGTACAAAATGACTTTAACATTGTTAAGCAAATCTGTTGTGATACATAGTCAAGCAAATCTGTTGTACAAAATGACTTTAACATTGTTAAGCAAATCTGTTGTGATACATGGTCAAGTACATTTGTGATACAAAATGACTTTAACATTGTCAAGCAAATTTGTTGTGATACATAGTCAAGTACATCTGTGATACAAAATGACAATAACATGATACATAACTTAAGCCAAGCCTGTTCTGATAATAAGTCAAAGTAACAAAATGACACAGGAAACTTTCAAATTGAATTTTACAAAATAGCACACTATGTGCACAACTACTGATCAATGCCCTTCCTCTTCTTCCTTGATATCTTCTTTGAGGTACTACCACCAGTTTCTTCACCTATGGTCAAAGGTGTATCAGGTGTTGATCCAGGCCCACCATGTCTTTTGGCATTCCTCACTTCCTTCAATCTTTCACTGACTCTCTTTCTTGATCGCTTCCAAGGCACGGCCACGACCTTTTTCCTAGTTGAAGGTTTTTTTACATTAGTAGCAGCAGGGTCAGGTTGCATTGCAGCAGGTTGTGAATCATGTGTTAGGGGAGGTTGCATTGCAGCAGGTTGTGATTCATGTGTTGGGGGAGGTTGCATAGCAGTAGGTTGTGTGGGATTGTCAACTTGTGATTATTGTTCTTCATAAAGATCCATCATATTATTCAGCAATGCATCCATATCTGGGCCTTCATCCACAGTTCCACCTCCAGTTTCAGTTGTATCAACATTTGCATCCATCTCTGGGCCTTCATCCACAGTTCCACCTCCAATTGCAGTTGTATCAACATTTGCATCCATCTCTGGGTCTTCATCCACAGTTCCACCTCCAGTTGCAGTTGTATCAACATTTGCATCCATCTTTGGGTCTTCATCCACAGTTCCACCTCCAGTTGCAGTTGTATCAACATTTGCATCCATCTCTGGGCCTTCATCCACAGTCCCATCAGATTTTTTTGACACTTTGGTCCTGGGTGTCTTTCTCTGCATTATTCAGAAACAGATATAAATAAAGACATTTCAATATGCTGAATACAATATTATTCAGTAACAGATTCATGAACACAATACCTTTCTCTTTAGTGCATTAGGATCTTGCTCCTTAGCTTGACACTTCCTAGAATTATGGCCAAATTTGTCACAATGCGTGCATCTATATGCTACACCTACCCTCCTCATCCTTGAACCATTCTCATCCAACTCTCTAAACCTCAGTTTCTTAGGCCTTCCAGGTCCCTTCTTGTATTGTGGTGGCAACAATTCTTCAGCATCCACAGTTGGCCACATGTCCATGCCATTTATTGGACTAACATTATTTTCATAACATGCCCTGTAAGCTTCTCTCATGTAACAAGGGTCAACATATTTCTCAGGATCTAAGTTTTGATACTGTAATGCAGAAACAACATGCCTACAAGGTATGCCCACAAGATCCCAAAAACAACAAGTACAGGTTTTTTTCCCAATATCAACAACAAACTGCAATCCATTATATGGGTGATGGACTTGCCACAAATCACCATTGCTCCACGTAGGCAGCCATTCTCCACTAAGATATGTTTCCTTATCAAGCCTTTTCCTAGGATTAGGCATGACATTGTGCTTCCACTTATCAAGCTTAACAACACTATTAGCAATCCTATTCATCACGTAGTTCCTAATCCATTCTACCATAGTGAGTATTGGCTTATCCCTAGCTTGTAATATTGTACTATTGAAAGATTCACTCAAGTTATTCATCAAAACATCACACTTAGGGTAAAATGAAAATGAATGCTTACACCATAGTTTTGTTGGCACTCCCATCAGCCATTCCCATGCCTTCTTATCAATTTGTTTAAGCTGATTCATCTTCTTCTCTCAAGCCTGGAAGTAAGTAGCCTTTGCAGCCCCCAATAACAGGTCTCTAATGGCAGCTCCCCCTCCAAATTTCTTCTTGAAATTTGCATACAGGTGTCTGAGGCAGACCCTGTGTTCAACTTGCTGATGCATTTCCTCAAAGACACTAACAAGTCCCTAAAAACAGCAAGACAACAGAAAAAAGCATGTACATTAGCAACTTATATATTCCTCATAAATGTTGAACATTAGCAATATAACAAGGCATGTAACATTAGCAGCAGGTTCTGATAAATGTTGAACATTAGCACCAGAATTAATGCTACAGTTCTATGGTACAGAATTAATACTTCAGTTCTATGGTACAGAATTAATGCATACTTCAGTACCAGAATTAGTGCATACTTCAGTACCAGAATTAATGCATACATGATTAGTGCATACAAAATTAGTGCACTTTGTATAAACCAGAATTAATGCATACATAATTAATGCATACAGAATTAGTGCATACAGAATTAGTGTACTTTGTATAAACCAGAATTAATGCATACAGAATTAATGCATACAGAATTAGTGCATACAGAATTAGTGCACTTTGTATAAACCAGAACTATGGCACAAAGGTAAGATATTTCATGAAGAACTTCAGTACCAGAATTAAGTAGTGCATATAGGGAAATAAACCAGAAATATGCAACTAAACCAGAACTATGCAAATAAACCAGAATTAGTGCACTTTGTATAAACCAGAACTATGTCACAAAGGTAATAGTGCATATTAGTGCAGAATTAGACATACTTCAGTACCAGAATTAAGACATACTACAGTAGCAGAATTAGTGCATATTAGTGCAGAATTAGTGCATGTTTCATAAATGTGAATAACAAAGGTAATTAGTGCATATTTGTACCTTTTGTTGGTCTGAAATAAAAACATACTTTCTCTCTTCTCCAATGTCTTCCATTAGCAATTGCATAAACCATCTCCAGCTTTCTTTTGTCTCAGTCTCCACCACACCAAATGCCAAAGGATAATATTGGTCATTCGGGTCCCTTGCTACAGCAATTAACAACTGACCTCCATATTGTGTCTTAAGATGACACCCATCTACCCCTATAAATGGTCTACAACCCTTGGTAAACCCTTTCTTGCATCCATCAAAACAGAAGTAAAATCTACCAAATCTTAGTGGTAGTGTTGGATGTGGTCTCTCAGTATTTAGTTTGACAGTGTTCCCAGCATAATGTTTTCTCAACTCAGCTGCATATCTCCATAACATGTTATATTGTTCCTTTGCATCACCTTCAATTATTTCTTCAGCCATAGCTTTGGCTCTCCAAGCTTTCCCTTTGGTAATGCCCACTGAATATTTCTGTCTAAGCTCAGACATAATTTCAGACAGTTTAACTTTCCCTTGTGACTTCCTCTTTTCAACCACTAACTTAGAGACCCACTTGGAATTGGCAGACTTGTTATTTAATACCCTTGCACATGTGTGGGTCCCCACCCAAGTCTTTATCTGGTAAGTGAGGCTACCTCCCACTTTGCTACACAATGCCAAAAACCCATATTTACTCTTACACTCAACCCTAACCCTACAACTCTCATTCTTAACAAACCTTATTTCTCTACCATTTAATACTGACCAATCCCTGATAGCATCTTTAAATTCAGAAAGAGAAATGAACTCCATACCTAATTTGAATTGAAAGTCTTTGTTAAGCAGCTCTGATCTGAACTTCTCATACTTTGGCTTGGAAGGTTTGTCATCCATGTCACTTTCATCAGCATCTGAACTTTCAAGTTCCTCACTAGCATAATCCACATCTTCACATTTCCTTGTAGCCCTCTTTGAACAAGATCCTAAGACACTTTTGGGCACCAAAACACTGACCTTGTCCCTTTTGCTCTTTTCTTTCATCTTTTTGGGATCCTTGGATGCACAACGCTTGAATCTCAATGATTTCCATTCGATCTCCACCCTATTCCCACTAACTGGAAGAGCTACCTCCACTTGTTCAAATTGCTCTTCTTCTACGTCAATTACTCTTTCCTCTTCACTGTCATTGAAACATTGGCTTGCATCAACATAGTCACCAGTACTATCATCTCCACTAGAGGTGCTGAAGTCATCAACATTAGGTACCAGAACCTTGGTCATCATGTCTTCTACACCGTGCTCTACCCAAAGATCGCCGTGAACCCTACAAGACATACAATGCTTAGCAACTTCTACAACTCCTGCATCATCAACAACATTTGTAAACCCTTCATCCGTTTGCGGAATCTTTCTCCATATCCTAAAACCTTCATAACCTCAATCTTTAACCAGACTAACAGCTTCAAAAAAGCTCCATTTATCTTCGTCCTGACCTTCAACAGTAGTCTCACTACCTCCTCTATAATACGTATGGCCGTCTTGCACGAAACTTCCCCCATGATGAAACACTAAATTAAACACACCCATTTGCAAGGATGAAGAACCCTAATCGCAGGGTCTGAATTGAAACTGGCTTTTTTTGTAAAATAATTTTGCAAACAAATGAAGATGGATGGCTGCGCCCTAATTTGGAGGGTCTGAATTGAAACATAACATTTGCCAAATAATTTGGGATTTTAAGAAAAGGGCATTCTGGACATTTTATTTGGTATTGTGTGACATGGCATAACAAAAACTTACAAATGTAACAAAAATATAAGCCACATCAGCCTTTTAGGTGATGTGGCATCCTCAAGGTAAAAACTGAAACTTTTAAAATTTGTCAAGGTAACAATTGGAACTTTTTTTTTGGCAGGGGGGTTTTTCAAATACACCCCATATGTCAGGGGTGAAAATAGGTATTAACCCAAGAATCAACTTGTTAAAAAAAACGTAAATGATCACTGGTGTAATTTTACCTTAAATATATCTAGAATAATTATTTTGTTATTCCTTTAGAAATCAAAATTGCAAGGTGAAGTGGTGAAATAAAATTTTGGTGTGGCAAAGAAAACTTCTAATATGGCTCAGACGGATGCTTGGGATACCTTAAATATGAGGGATAATTAGAGATATGGGCGATTTTATAGTCCAGTGAGTCTTGGCACGCGCCTGGGCTCAACCCCTACTTTCTTTATATTCTCCACAACTTAATAGTCGATTTTTAGATAAAATCAAGGGCAAAATTAATAAAAACATAGTGCAAAATTAATAAAAATAGGGTGTAAAAGTTTTTCCCATATTGTCTAAAATTCCTGGCTCCGCCATTGATTAGAGATGCTCCATGCTTTCAGACATGGAACATATGGAAGCATTAGATAATATCCAACAGTGAATTAATTGTATGTGGTATTAATCGAGTACGAGTCTAAAGGTCGTGGATGCATTCGTCATTGGACCTCTGATCGGCCCAGAATAATAATCTTTATGGATGGTTGTGATGGACTTACCATGTAAATTACACTGAAAATGCATATAATTAATCTTTCATAATATTACATGTAGTTTATTTTTTATGCATCATTAATGTAAAAAAAATTTACAACGTCAGTGCATCCCAATCATCCATAAGTGTTGTTTTAGGTTTAGTTGAAATTAAAGTCAAACACTATTTTCATTTTTAGTATGGCTTTAATTTGTTGCGTGATTAAGCGTGTCTTTGATTCTGTTGTGAAAAAAAATAATTATGAGTGAATTGATTATGTAAAACTAATTCTAATTAAAAGTATGTTGAAGGTAAAGTGATTTAAGTCTGGATAAAATCTTGCAAAAATGAGTTGGACAATAAATTTCAGTATAAAAATCATATTTAAGTTCAAAAGTTAAAAAGCATATATTCAAGTACGATCAATAATAGAAAGCAAAATCAATTCTTCTCGAGAGCAACTAAGCATGTCAAATTCAATTATGTTTCAGGTCCTCCGGAAGGCTCAGAAGACGAATGCCCAGTTACGAAGTGACAAGCTACTAAATATGGAAAATGTATACCCATTTTCCTTCGTGTTGCAGGTAACTCGTCACGAGGATTTCATGTTGACTACTTAGATTCATCCAGCGGCTAATCACATTCCATGTCAATCCACGTGCATGCAATTATGAATTAGCTCTGTTATTTAAAGAGGAAAGCACACCCTTTCACAAGTATTCAAAATATTTTCCATTTGAACTTCATTTTTCACTCTATTACTGATTTGAGCATTTGAGTGTTAATCTTGCAGGTCAATCTCCATTACACCACATCAAAAGTTGTAGACCACTATAACACACTATGAATCCATTTTTTCCCGATCATCATTAGTTTTCGTGTGAAACAAATTCTATACATCCAAAATCAACTACAATTCTGAAACCAAACATAAACAAGTAAAGAGAGAGTAAGAGTGAGAAAGATAGCAAAGAAATAACACATTTTCTTTTTTAATCAACAAGGTTATATTAAAAATAGAGTATTATGGGTACTCTTGCCCGAATACAACATAAGGCGAAGAAAAGCCTGAAGAGAAAAAAAATCTAAACCAACCTAAACCTAAGTTAAACAATGGATAGGATCCTTACAAAAATCATAGAAATTACATTTTGATAGGCCAAATCAAGTCTGAAACAACATATAACACATAGTTAAAAAGAATTTTGTTCTTGTTTTCCCATATACTCCCCACAACTGACAACCACAGTACACCTTCCTTCCCTCTTTTGAAATTTCTCCTCTTTGGGAATCTTATCCAACTAAGAAAGTTTCTCCACACTCTCCCCCATACCTACTAGGAAATCCTAACCACTTCTCAATCTCTTGTCATATAGACTTAGACACTTTACAGTTAAAGAAAACATGTTCAAAACTTCCATCACTTTGGAAGTAAAGAACACAATATAAATCATGAGATTGATCAATGATACATATCACACATAGTTGATCCTTACTCGAAAGTATGTTTAAGAAACTCTGTCATATGAACAATCTGACTCGGAAAGGAGCATGTATTTTCCATAATTTAGTAAAAGCTACATCTTTTGCTTCGCCCCTTATTCAATATCGGAATCTGCATTGGATAATATGTAACCAGATTTAATTGAGTATCCCACAATTAGATTCGAGTTCCACTCCACTTTATCCTTTACACCAAGAATCAGAACTATACCATCCAGAAACACAAACAAGTTCTGCTCTAGAACCTGTAGAGTATCATCTAAACCCCCTGATATCCCAAGGTCGCCCTAAATCCAATCATTATTGAGCCAATAACCTATTATATCCACCACCTCTTACTTCTTTGAACTTATGTGATATAAGTCTGGAAACTTATCTCTCAAAATAATATTGCCGCTCCATGTTGTCAACCAAAACAAAATAGATTTGCCAGCTTTAATGTTGAAATGGATGTTACCTGCAAAAATAGAATCAGAACCAGATTGTCTTTTGTCAAAGGTTATCAAATCCTTCCACCAAGAGAATTCAGATAAATAATCACAAATATTTTTTAAAAATGACCATTTTTAAAATCATATATAGAAATTGGACATCAAATAATTAGTTTTTCAAAAATTATATAATCACTATTAAAAAATTCGTTCTATATAATATCTTTCAAATTTATTTTATCATGATTCTTTAAAAAAAAAAATTAATATTTTTTTATGTAGTTCTTCAATAACTATATCATAAGTGATTTCATAAATTAAAATTAAAATATAATTATTTATGCAATATTATAAATTCTCTAGGAATTCTTTAAACATATAATTAAATCACAATAAAAATATAATTATTGATAAATTAATCCTTCAGGTATATATGCAGTTCTTCATATTAGTATTATTTTTATTATAATTTTGGACAAACTATATCATACATATTCTTCATGATAGAAAAAGTATTATTTATTATGAATATTTTAAAATATTCATTGTAAACCAATATATGTATAATTGCTTAGTTCTTCAAAAACTCAATAATAATTTTTTTAAAGTTCTTTAAGCACTCAATGACAGTTTTTTTTTTTTAAGTTGTTCAGAATCTCAATTACAAATTTTTTTTTGTAGTTCTTTGAGAATACAATCATAAATCTTTTATGAAGATTTTTGAAAATTTAATCACAATTTTTTTTATGTAGTTCTTAGAAACTCAGTCATAATTTTTTTATTAATAAAAATAATAATATCTATAATTCTTTAAAGATATTTGATAATTTTTTCATGTATTATATAATAAATTTATTATTTTGTTATTCTTAAGAGATATTTTAAATATTCTTCGGAAACTATATAAAAAATTTCTTATTTTACTATTCTTTGGAAATAGTTTATATATTATTTAAGAACTATATAAAAAATTCATTATTTTTCAATCCTCTGAAGATACTTTATATATTATTTAAGAACAATATAAATTTATTATTTAAAATTCAAAATGAATAATATAAAGTAAAAGAATAAAGTACCAAAATTATTTTTGATAGTTATAGAAAAGAGTATAGTGTATTATTCACATTCTAAGAGTTAATTTCGAATACAATATGAATAATACTTATAATTATATGACATATATAAAAAATGAAAAATCAATATGAAATCTATTCATTTATGAACATCAATAATCATGTCATTTTTAATATATATATATATATATATATATATATATATATATATATATATATATATATATATATATATATATATATATATATATATATATATATATATATATATATATATATATATATATATATATATATATATATTGATGGTGCAATATTTCTTTTATATATTCTTATTATTATGTTTTTCTTATTAATTTATTAGTTTTATATTTTTTATTTATTATTTATGACTTTGTTTGGTAAGTTATATTTTTGAGTTTATAAGTTATAGTTTATAAGGTCATATGTTAAATTTAGATGTGTTTGATAATAGTATTTTTATCACGAGCTTATAATTTATTTTTTAGACCCTATTTTAAATAGCGTTTTAATTTATAGCTTATATCTTATCATTTTTTCGTCCACTTTTATCTTTATTATTTTAATAAAAAATCACTTTTATCCTTTATAGTTTATTTAAATTTAAAATGAAATAATTATTTATTAAATGTATTTCATGTCATTTTATATTTATAGGTTAGTTGAAACGTTAATTGTTTTTTATCTGATGTGAGACGAAGTGTTTCACGTTAAATGATAAAATAAAATACTTTCTCTACAATGTCACGGGGAAAGGGAAGGTCGCCGAAGAAGGCGTCCCAATCGCGGGGAACCAATGGTGGGGGAAGCAACGCCGCTGTCAAGGTGGATGCTGACACATCGAATGCGAAGAAATCATATTTGATAGTGATCGTACCTGATCAGAGTGGATCGTCAAGGCCTACGAGTTGTGAGTTGAGCAACAACTGAAGATGAGATGAGGGACGCTTGCAAAACACTCTGGTGCCAAAGGTTCAGAGTAGTGCGAGCAAGTATGAGAGTGATTATGAAAGAATGAATGAATACTTGACC